TAAATGATGCCGCACATGACTTCTATGTCTTTATTATTGTGTTCGGACGTGTCATTTACCTACGTCTTTCCTTCACATCACGCAATGTCAAATTCGGTACATGTGAAGCTAGCGAAACGGCCGCGAGTACATCATGAGCGTGGCTGTTGTCATGGTCTTACATGACACGCATGTCATTATTATTATGTTTATTTATTTATTTTCTCTCAATGCACAAGGCGTTACAGAGAGAAGTGGTGGAAAAAACAAGTAACAATCTGCACAAACAAATGGAGCATGTTTAAAAAGGGTATGCGTTTATGGTACTCTTGAAGTTGGCCGGGTCAGTGATAGATGCGATGGAAGCGGGAAGGTGATTCCAGTCCGTGCTTGTTTTGGGCACGAATAAATTAAAATGGAGGTTTGTACGGCTGCTTGTAATTCCAACTTTGAAGTGGTGGTCGCCGCGGGATGAAATGTAGGATGGCGGCAAAAAAAAGCGAGTTACTCAGTGAGTGCATGGTATGGTACAACTTGTGGAAGAGGCACAAGCGCGAGATTTTGCGGCGAAATGATAGGCTAGGTAGATTTAAGGTTGACTTCATATGGGTTACGCTTGCTGTACGGGAATAGTTCGACAAAATGAAACGAGCGGCGCGATTTTGAATTGTTTCGATGCTACTGATATGGATGTTTACGTGAGGATCCCATACAGATGATGAATATTCCAGCTTTGGTCGGACTAATGATTTATAGAGCAGAAGCTTCAGTTGCATCAGGGCAAGGGAGAAGTTACGGTTTAAAAAACCAAGTGTGCGGTTAGCATTGTTTTTAATAAGGTCAATGTGAGACTGCCAGGAAAGGTTGTCAAAAATTGTAACGCCAAGGTACTTGTAAGAGCTAACTTTAGTAAGGGGAGACTTATTAAGTACGTAGTTAGTAGAAATATTACATGTTCGACGTGAAACTCTCATTACCTTGCATTTAGTAACATTAAGGTTCATTAGCCAAGTATCGCACCAAGATGAAACATTGTTTAAGTCACACTGAAGGGCAAGGTGGTCAGAAGGGGTTTTAATTTCGCGGTAAATAACACAATCATCGGCGAAAAGTTTAATAGAAGAAGAGATGTTATGTGGCAAATCGTTAATGTAAATCAGGAAGAGTAGTGGGCCAAGAACGGATCCTTGGGGGACGCCAGAGGTTACGGGTGAGAGGGGGGAGTTGAATTCATTCGCAGTTACAAATTGGGAGCGGTCTATTAGAAAGCATTCAATCCATTTTAATATGTTAGCATCAAGATTAAGTTTGCTTAGTTTTAGCAGTAGCAGTTTATGGCATACAGTGTCAAAAGCTTTAGCAAAGTCGAGAAAAATACAGTCAACAAGGGAAAAAGCGTCAATGGCAAGAAAAAGATCATTAGTAAAGCAGAGAAGTTGGGTCTCACACGAGTACTGTTCCCGGAATCCTTGCTGGTGATCACTAGGGAACGAGTTGTTTTCTAAAAAAGTGATTATGTGGGAGTAGATGACGTGTTCCATGAGCTTACACGGTATACTTGTTAACGATAAGGGCCTGTAATTGCGGGGGTTATGAACGTCATCTGATTTGTGAAGAGGAACCACCTTTCCCGCTTTCCAGTCGCCCGGGAGGCAATGACATTCCAAAGGCTGTGTGAAAAGCTCACATAAAATGACAAATGAGTAAACAGAGGTATTATGCAAAAACTTTGCACAGATACCGTCTTCACCTGGAGCACTGGCTACTTTCATGTTTTCTATCAATTTTTGTATGCCGACACAGTCAAATAAAAGCGGTTCCATGGGAACAAAGTTGTGGGTGGGGGTATCGGGAAAGGAAAGTGCTGTAGGTTTAACAAAGCACGATGAAAACACAGAGCTTAAAAGGACACAACACTCTTCTTTTGGTACACGGCTGTTATCATCATGAATTAATTCTATCGCCTTTTTTTCATTTCCCCTAATCATCTGCCGAAATTTCTGTGGGTTAGTTGCAAGCAGGGAGGGAAGCGTTTGTTGATAATAATTTTCTTTTGCAACGGATAATGCGCGGGTGTACTCGTCAGCTGCGTGATGATAAGCGGACCACCTTTCCGCGTTGTTAGTTAGCTTTGCCTTTCGAAAAAATCGTTTCTTTTTATTCAGTAGTCGTTTTAGTGTAAGCGTGAACCAAGGGGACTTTGCATTTTGCCTAATTCTGCGGAGTAGAATAAAACGATTGGTAAGTTCTGCTACCTTCTGCTTAAACAAATTCCAGTTTTGTTGCACGGACCTTTCCAGAAATTGCGAAAGGTAATCGTTTAGGAAAAGCTGAAGCTCATTATTAATTGAAACATAGTCGGCTCTTTTGTAGTCCCTAAAAACTTTTGAGCTATCATTTCTTTTAGTTGTTTTAGTCATGTTAAAATGAATAGCTAGATGGTCGCTTACGCCCGGAATAACTGATAGGGATTTAATTAGGTCGGGATGCGTGGTCAGCACCAGGTCTAGAACTGAGAAGGTGGACAAGGTAATGCGGGTTGGAGCGTTAACCAGCTGGGTAAGGTTAAAGTCTCTACCCCGCCGCGGTGGTCTAGTGGCTAAGGTACTCGGCTGCTGACCCGCACGTCGCGGGTTCGGATCCCGGCTGCGGCGGCTGCATTTCCGATGGAGGCGGAAATGTTGTAGGCCCGTGTACTTAGATTTGGGTGCACGTTAAAGAACCCCAGGTGGTCGAAATTTCCGGAGCCCTCCACTACGGCGTCTCTCATAATCATATGGTGGTTTTGGGACGTTAAACCCCACATATCAATCAAGGTTAAAGTCTGAACACACATCAAAAAAGGCAACACTGTCAGCAGAAGTTGATGAAATTATTGGGAAAGGGGGAGACCACGAAACATTAGGGAAGTTAAAGTCACCTAGGAGAAACATAGGCGCAGCCGGAAACCTTACTCGCAACTTATTTAGTACATCGTGTAATTCATTTGCGAAACCGGTAGTAAGGTTAGGAGTCCGGTAGCGGCCACAAACAACGATATCTTTGTGGTTAATGCGAACACACGCGACAACAATTTCAAGCGGTGAAACAACAGGCACGCTGAACGAGCTACTCTCGTCGCTAATGGCAATCAATACGCCACCCCTGCACCTCGTACCCCGGTCACAGCGGTAGAATTTAAACTTTTTCGAACAGTTAAACATTTCGTTATTTTCAATTTCCGCGGACAGCCAAGTTTCAGTTACTACGACGACATCAGCTAGACATGTATCTATTAGCGCAGATAGGGCATCACGCTTGTTTGTAACACTTCGAGAATTACATAGCAAAAAAGAAAATTCGTGAGCTCGAAATTGCTTATCTAGCTATCGATGTGAAGGAGGAGCGCTGGCCCCTGCGCATTGTGCATTTCTTACTTCGGGAGCAACGTGGACGGGGTTATCATAAATCGGTCCTGCCTCAGTTACACGATCGGTGACCGGACAATAAACGTAGGCTTTCTTGTTGATTAGTATCTTGTTATACTTCAAGTAATATGGCTGCCCAGTGCTTTTCGCGAAATTTAAAAGCTTTTTCTGGATGTGGCACGTGGCCTTGCAGAAATCTTCGCTAACTGACACGGGGGTGCTGCCAAGCATCGATTTCTTAGCAAAGACACTTTCTCTTGTTTTGAACGAACTGAAGCGAACAATAACAGGTCGACATTTGTTCTGTACATATGTTCCAAGCCTGTGTGCACGGGAGACGGCTTCATTAGCAAGTTGCAGTTTAAGGGACGCAGACAAGATTTCACGAATTTTTAGCTCCGACTCAGCCCAGGTTTCTGAAGTAGAATCCAATATCCCACAAAAAATTAGGTTCTCCCTACGAGGGCGATCCTCGAAGTCATCAAGCCGTGAACTGAGAGCGACACTTTCGTGTCGCATGGCAGCCGTTACAAGACCTTGCATCTGTGCATTGTCTGGAACGCTCTCGAGGGAAATAACCTTCTGTTCAAGTACAGTTAGTCAGGTGGTTAAATCTGTTACTTTGTATCAGTAATATACCTTCGCCATCCATTCACGTCACGTAGCACCAAGTTTGGTGTATGTGAAGCTAGTGAAATGACCACGACCACACTATAAGCGAACCATGCAGTCATGTTTTACATGACACACATGTCATGATTATCATGTTTGGACATGCCATTTACCTTCGTCGTCCCTTCACGTCACGTAATACCAAGTTTAGTATATGGAAAGATACTGAAATGGCCGTGAGCGCATCATCAGCGTGGCATATAGTCATGTTCTTACATGACACGCATGTTTTTATTATCATGTTTTGACATGTAATATACCTTCGTCATCCATTTACGTCACGTAATACCAAATTTGGTGTATGTGAAGCTGTAGAAACAAACACGAGCGCACCATTAGCATGGCGTGTAGTCTTGACTTACATGACATGCATGTCATAATTTCCACGTTAAGGCCTCTTGCATACGTTCGCCATGCAGTCATGTCTTACCATACCAGTTTTGCAATGTCATGTGAAAGTACCACCGCAAGAGCAACAACACCATCAAATGTAAATTATTACATTCGTGACATGCATGTCACGGTTTTCATGTTATAACTTGTCACTTATGCTCGTCATACAGTCATGTTATTCCATACGACTTTTGATATTGTTACGATTATCGAAACGGCCAGGAGAGCTGAAGGTCGTAGGCGGCTAGATAGATAGATAGATAGATAGATAGATAGATAGATAGATAGATAGATAGATAGATAGATAGATAGATAGATAGATAGATAGATAGATAGATAGATAGATAGATAGATAGATAGATAGATAGATAGACAGACAGACAGACAGACAGACAGACAGACAGACAGACAGATAGACAGACAGACAGACAGACAGACAGACAGACAGACAGACAGACAGAGAGTCGCCAAAGTTCGCTTATAAATGCTTCGCATTTAAAGAACTGCGCAGCGCAGTTACGCGTTGCAGAGCAAAGAAAAGTGGCCTACCTCGTCGTCGTGGGCTCTGTTGGCATCGGGGCAGCCCACGGCCACAGGCGGGCTTTTACCTGGAAGTACGTGTTCAAGGCCTTAGGAGTCAGAGCTGTTTTCGAGGTTAAGATTATTTTCAAAATACCATGTGTTAGGTAATAAATGCAAGAACCAGGCATCACACGTATACTTTTATTAGTTTATGTTTTTAACGTGCACAAACGTTTTCAACAGTAATGCGGCTGTTCATTGACATCTCTTCAGATGTTTTGGTAATATTCCCGCTTATAAACTCGAAGCATTCTTTAGTCGCACGTTGTCCCGCGTCGTGCGTCGGCGCTGATGTCCACACTACCACTGCGCATGCTATAGCGCCTAGCGTATCGTGCCACATGCGTGCGTCTCGTGCCAACTGTTTGCTCCCCCTCCTGTTTTGCCTCGCGAGGGTGACGCAGGCAGTGTCTGCTATTCTAAAAAATCGACTGCTCGAGCTGCATGACCGTTGACTGGTTACCTCGTGTTTATGTAGGCACTAGATCACACATCGGCGCCCCACCACTCGTTGAAGGCAATGCTTCTGCTTTATTCAATAAATAAAAATAACAAGACGAAATAACAATACAGCATTCCGAAACCATACCCAGTTATGCAAAATTCACGCGATACTTCCAACATTCCACGACGCAATTACTAGAGCTCCCCACGTGGTAAGATGCAGGCGGCATATTTTTTTAATTATTTCGGCCTTTAAACGTCACCATATAATTGATGACGTAAGATGCCTTCATTTATGATTGGTACATGGTGATCTGGTGAAATGGACAAGAAGGACTGTTTAAAGGAATGCTTCGTGTATCTGCTTCTCTTCTTGTGCGTCGTCCTTTTGTTCTCAAATTCATTCCAGAGTGAGCCAGGGCGACCAACGAAGTATTTTATTAGGTACTGTTTTCAAAGCCAACTCAAGCAATTTTTCGAGGTCAGTGGATCTCAATAAAATTCACTGGGTACATTAACTTGCAAGTATGTGCTATTCATGCCACATTGCAAGCTTGAGAGCTTCGCAGATTGTTTTCAAATGAATTTTATAGCTTGCCTCGAAACGCTCACCTAGCTTGCTTGAATTAACGACACCATTGTGTGTGTGACGTTCGGGTTTGTCTGGAGGAAGCGTCAACCTGACGTGCCACTGCCGCGTCTGTTTCTCTGCTATGAATTGTGCGGGTTTGGCCGGCGCTTCCTTGGTTGAGCGTGCGATTTCCTTTTGATTGTTGATGGGCGTGTGATAGGTGCCAAGTATTATCGCGTTGTGAGCCAAACACGATTCGCAATATATTCACCATAACAGCGTAAGCGTTTTAGCCGATCGCCGCGGACGACGTGGAGAGGTAGTGTTATATGGTCCTGCAGCGTCAGACAAATCTTTACGTCTCACGTTGAAGCGCACTCGGTTGGGTTTCGGTATTGCTATTGCGTTTTTCAGTAATTAAAAAATATTTTCTAACTTTTTCAGCATTTCTGTTATCGGGTACGTGAGAAGAGTGTCTGAGGAACGTAAAAGCACCATTATTCTGACATGGTCAAAAATCGCCAAAGTTGGCGTATAATTTATCTTTTCTTTCATCCTCGTGTTGCAATAGGTCTTTGCTTTTTTGACTATCTGGAGTCATCAAGTTCTTTATGTTACTGAGCTTTCATATGAATAGAATTTAATACGGCTTATACCTAAGTCATTATGCGGAACCACTCAGCGAATGCCGATGGTCTATATATAGGCAACCATTTTTGTACAAGTTTAACTATCCTGTAACGTAAAAATACTGCATTTTCTAACAATTCTTTCCTAATAATAAATACCACTTGTTCATGCTTTATAGTTTGTAGCTCGCGCATTCCTTCGGGGGGAGGGGGAATCCTGTTACGTAGAAGGCAGTGACTGATTGTAGAGGCGGAGAAGGAAGAAGTGCTCTAGAATAAACCTAGCTTATGAGCCAGGCCACGTCTCCAGTCATGATAGCGTCACACACACACACACACACACACACATACATATATATATATATATATATATATATATATATATATATATATATATATATATATATATATAGAAGAAAGGCAGTGTATACCCAAGGGCTCGTTTTTCTGTGTTTTTACACAATAATAATGATATCTAACAGACAATAATGCGAAGGAAAGTATGGAAGAAGATATTAGACCAAATTTTAATGTGAATATGAAGAAAAGTGGATGAAAAGATAACTTGCCGTGGGCAGGATTCGAACCTACGACCTTCGAATGACGCGTTCGATGCTCTACCACTGAGCTACCACGACAGCTATCCCCCCAGCCACTTTATAGGGTTTATATGTGATTTAAACGTGGGAGTGTCAGTCAGCGCCACCAGTAGCCATGGCGGCGAGTGTGGCACATCTTTTGAGCCTGTTTGGCGTCACGTAGCACGTGAACTTGTTACGAGTGGGCAGCTGACCAATAGTCCCTCGTATACAACCTAAAGGCACTAAGTCTGCCAGTACGAGAACCTCGTTAATGAAGAAGGAAAAAAGTGTATACCTAAAGGCTCGTTTGTCTGTGTTTTTACACAATATTAATGAGATCTAACAGACAATAATGCGAAGGAAAGTATAGAGGAAGATATTAGACCAAATTTTAATGTGAATATGAAGAAAAGTGGATGAAAAGATAACTTGCCGTGGGCAGGATTCGAACCTACGACCTTCGAATGACGCGTTCGATGCTCTACCACTGAGCTACCACGACAGCTATCCCCCCAGCCACTTTATAGGGTTTATATGTGATTTAAACGTGGGAGTGTCAGTAAGCGCCACCAGTAGCCATGGCGGCGAGTGTGGCACACTCTTTTGAGCCTGTTTGACGTCACGTAGCACGTGAACTTGTTACGAGTGGGCAGCTGACCAATAGTCCCTCGTATACAACCTAAAGGCACTAAGTCTGCCAGTACGAGAACCTCGTTAATGAAGAAGGAAAAAAGTGTATACCTAAAGGCTCGTTTGTCTGTGTTTTTACACAATATTAATGAGATCTAACAGACAATAATGCGAAGGAAAGTATGGAAGAAGATATTAGACCAAATTTTAATGTGAATATGAAGAAAAGTGGATGAAAAGATAACTTGCCGTGGGCAGGATTCGAACCTACGACCTTCGAATGACGCGTTCGATGCTCTACCACTGAGCTACCACGACAGCTATCCCCCCAGCCACTTTATAGGTTTTATATGTGATTTAAACGTGGGAGTGTCAGTAAGCGCCACCAGTAGCCATGGCGGCGAGTGTGGCACACTCTTTTGAGCCTGTTTGGCGTCACGTAGCACGTGAACTTGTTACGAGTGGGCAGCTGACCAATAGTCCCTCGTATACAACCTAAAGGCACTAAGTCTGCCAGTACGAGAACCTCGTTAATGAAGAAGGAAAAAAGTGTATACCTAAAGGCTCGTTTGTCTGTGTTTTTACACAATATTAATCAGATCTAACAGACAATAATGCGAAGGAAAGTATGGAAGAAGATATTAGACCAAATTTTAATGTGAATATGAAGAAAAGTGGATGAAAAGATAACTTGCCGTGGGCAGGATTCGAACCTACGACCTTCGAATGACGCGTTCGATGCTCTACCACTGAGCTACCACGACAGCTATCCCCCCCGCCACTTTATAGGGTTTATATGTGATTTAAACGTGGGAGTGTCAGTAAGCGCCACCAGTAGCCATGGCGGCGAGTGTGGCACACTCTTTTGAGCCTGTTTGGCGTCACGTAGCACGTGAACTTGTTACGAGTGGGCAGCTGACCAATAGTCCCTCGTATACAACCTAAAGGCACTAAGTCTGCCAGTACGAGAACCTCGTTAATGAAGAAGGAAAAAAGTGTATACCTAAAGGCTCGTTTGTCTGTGTTTTTACACAATATTAATGAGATCTAACAGACAATAATGCGAAGGAAAGTATAGAGGAAGATATTAGACCAAATTTTAATGTGAATATGAAGAAAAGTGGATGAAAAGATAACTTGCCGTGGGCAGGATTCGAACCTGCGACCTTCGAATGACGCGTTCAATGCTCTACCACTGAGCTACCACGACAGCTATCCCCCCAGCCACTTTATAGGGTTTATATGTGAATTAAACGTGGGAGTGTCAGTCAGCGCCACCAGTAGCCATGGCGGCGAGTGTGGCACACTCTTTTGAGCCTGTTTGGCGTCACGTAGCACGTGAACTTGTTACGAGTGGGCAGCTGACCAATAGTCCCTCGTATACAACCTAAAGGCACTAAGTCTGCCAGTACGAGAACCTCGTTAATGAAGAAGGAAAAAAGTGTATACCTAAAGGCTCGTTTGTCTGTGTTTTTACACAATATTAATCAGATCTAACAGACAATAATGCGAAGGAAAGTATGGAAGAAGATATTAGACCAAATTTTAATGTGAATATGAAGAAAAGTGGATGAAAAGATAACTTGCCGTGGGCAGGATTCGAACCTACGACCTTCGAATGACGCGTTCGATGCTCTACCACTGAGCTACCACGACAGCTATCCCCCCAGCCACTTTATAGGGTTTATATGTGATTTAAACGTGGGAGTGTCAGTAAGCGCCACCAGTAGCCATGGCGGCGAGTGTGGCACACTCTTTTGAGCCTGTTTGGCGTCACGTAGCACGTGAACTTGTTACGAGTGGGCAGCTGACCAATAGTCCCTCGTATACAACCTAAAGGCACTAAGTCTGCCAGTACCGAGAACCTCGTTAATGAAGAAGGAAAAAAGTGTATACCTAAAGGCTCGTTTGTCTGTGTTTTTACACAATATTAATGAGATCTAACAGACAATAATGCGAAGGAAAGTATAGAGGAAGATATTAGACCAAATTTTAATGTGAATATGAAGAAAAGTGGATGAAAAGATAACTTGCCGTGGGCAGGATTCGAACCTGCGACCTTCGAATGACGCGTTCAATGCTCTACCACTGAGCTACCACGACAGCTATCCCCCCAGCCACTTCATAGGGTTTATATGTGAATTAAACGTGGGAGTGTCCCTCAGAGCCAC